GGTGTACTTTACACCACAAATCTTATTTTTACAAGTAAACTATAAAGCTCTCTGTCATCTGGCATCCTGACTTTTTAAAAAGAAGAAAATACAAGAAAGCAAAAAGTGGAAAGATGAAATTATGTTCAGGGACTAGTACAAGTATATTCCCTTGCTAAGAGGCCCAGCTACGTTTTACTGAGGACAAAATGTGTAGATAGTACAAAGAGAAAGTAGCTGGATGATGAGTAGGATTGCTAAGCAACAGTTTATGAAATCCAGGGAAACCATGGCAACGGAACACTGTGGTCCCAGCCATGAACTTACTTAACATTCAAGAGTAAAGGCACAGCTATTGGGAACATCTGGTAAAATAAATTAGGAGTGCTTTGGAAATATAAAGCGTCATCATTATTTTTGTTGCTATCACCGCTGCACATGAAGCAAATAACCCAAGCAATCAGTGCATATCAAAAAATAACTGCTCACAGATTTTTAGAATTAAAAATTGGTTATCACATCTACAAACTAACCATCACATGCTCTGAATACTTTTATATATGAAAGGCATTGACATCTGCAAGTTTATTTTTATTTGCTTCTTACCTAATGATTTCCATAATTTTCTGAGTAAGTTTAATAACTAATTTTCTGGGGCAGGGTGCCTTAATCTTGGAACTATTGACATTTGAGTTAGGTAATTATTTTGTGCGTGGGTTGGGGAGCTATCCTGTGAATTACTGGATGTTACCAGCTTCTATTCACTAGGTTTTATTATTTTTAAAAAATAAATCTTTATTGTTCAGATTATTACAATTGTTCCTCTTTTTTACACCCATAGCTCCCCTCCACTTGGTTCCCACACTACCCTCTGCCCTTACACCCCCCACTGTCTTCATCCCTAGGTGTATGATTTTTGTCCAGTCTCTTCCCACACTCCCCACACTCCTTCCTCCCACCCCCACCGAGAATTGTCAGTCCACTCCTTTTCTATGCCCCTGATTCTATTATATTCACCAGTTTATTCTGTTCATCAGATTTTTTATCCACTTGATTTTTAGATTCATTTGTTGATAGATATGTATTTGTTGTTCATAATTTTTCTTTACCTTTTTCTTCTTCTTCCTCTTCTTAAAGAATATCTTTCAGCATTTCATATAATACTGGTTTGGTGGTGATGAACTCCTTTAGCTTTTTTTTATATGTGAAGTTCTTTATCTGACCTTCAATTCTGAATGATAGCTTTGCTGGGTAGAGTAATCTTGGTTGTAGGCTCTTGCTATTCATCACTTTGAATATTTCTTTCCATTCCCATCTGGCCTGAATAGTTTCTGTTGAGAAATCAGCTGACAATCATATGGGGGCTCCTTTGTAGGTAAGTATTTTTCTCTTGCTGCTTTTAATATTCTCCCTTTGACTTTTGCTCTTGGCATTTTAATTATTATATGTCTTGGTGTGGTCCTCTTTGGATTCCTTTTGTTTGGGGTTTTGTCCACTTCCTGGACTTGTAAGTCTATTTCTTTCACCAGGTGGGGGAAGTTTTCTGACATTATTTCTTCAAATAGGTTTTTAGTATCTTGCTCTCTCTCTTCTTCTTGCACTCCCATAATTCGGATGTTGGTACACTTGAAGTTGTCTCAGAGGCTCCTTACACTATCTTCATATTTTTGGATTCTTTTTTTCTTTTCTAGTTGGGTGTTTTTGCTTCTTTGTATTTCAAATCTTTGACTTGATGCTTGCAATCCTCTTGTCTGCTGTTAGATCTCTGTATATTATTTTTTATTTCAGTGAGTGTATGCTTAATTTCTAGTCGATCCTTTCTCATATCCTCGAGGACTGTACTAAATTTATCAGCCTTTTCTAGAAAATTCTTGAAAAACCTTAGAACCGTGGTTTTGAATTCTATATCCAGTGGTTTGCTTTCCTCCATTTCTTTCATTTGTGACCCATTTCTTTTTCTCTGCATTTTGGCTGCTTCCCTGAATTGACAGAGCACACAAAACCATGCTATCAGAGTCCCATGGTAATCTCTGCAAGAACCTCTGAGAGAAAGCCATCCTCGAGTTCTACCCACTTCCAGACAGTACAATTTCTCCCCGTATGAGTCTGAGTCCTCAGAGTCTCGTCTGGAACTGGAGTTCAGAACAGTTGGGAGCTTTTGTCTCCCTCCTGATTGAGAAAGCCATCCACATATTCAGTTGCCACCCCTCTCTGTACATGCGTGCCTTCATACCTCTTCCTTCCGCAGCTCCTCTGAGTCTCAGTGTGCTTTTCTCTTTCCTTCTAGTTGTAGAATTTCCACTCAGCCAGCCTTCCTGTGGTTCTGGATGATGTCTGTTTTGTCTTTTAGTTGTAGTTTTGAAATTGTTGTACGAGGCAGCAGTTCAGGTGTTTACCTACGCCACCACCTTAGTTTCTCTCTCTATTCACTAGGTTTTAGAAGTAACCTATACTCCCCAGGCATGACAATGGAAAAATGCCTGTAGATGTTGCTGAATATTCCCTGTAGAAAGGGAGATCCCCTCCACCTCTCATTGAAGACCTTTGTGCAAATCATTGTAGACCCAGGCAACACTTTAAGTGTCACCTCTGAATGATTCTCACTGAATTAGTTATATCAAGTCCACTGCTAAGCAAGTGTTGACTTTACATGTGAGCTAGTGCCTGCAACATATACCCAGGAAAAAGATCCTCATACTTAATTTACAGGGTAGGGTCCCATTCTTTGAGGTGGTAAGGTGGACATTTCCTGGCAGGCCAGGAGCCATAGATTTGAGGGAATTTGAAGAGAGAAAATTCTCTGACATTTACAGGGGCTTCAAGTGAAATATGGCAAAGTTAATTTCTTGGGCCTGGTTTTCTATTTTTTGGGGTAGAAGAATAAATAATAGAAGACATTTGTAAAGATCTAATTCAAGATTCATTATGACAACTTCCTGGAAGATTTCATCAGTAGGGATTAGGAATTGCTCAACATTTTATTACTGTAGATTTGAAAATCAAACTTACTGATGTCCATATTATTAAAAAAAAAAAAAGTTATACTAGCTAAATGTAATTTACATATTACTTATGTAAATAATTATGCCAAATCAAATGAGCGCAGGGATTTTGTGAAATTATTTGTACCCACAATGGAGGAGACCTTGAAAATTTATCCAAAATTTGAGTGTTCTTTTAGTGCAGTGTTGGGTATTATAGTATTGATTGACTTTCTATTGGCTGGGATCTTTTACAATTCTATAGAGGCAGAGATTACTTTGAAGAAAACTGGTGTAAATGAAAATAATTCTTGTCTGAGTGAAATATAAATTATTTCTATTTTAATGCAAGTGAAGTTTATGTGATATAGAGCAGCAGAGAAGCAATTCATTAACATCAGGTTGAAAAGATAACCCCAAATCCTATAATTTATGGCTTTTTAGGCTGTTAACCATGTTTGTATCTACTGGTATTAAAAAATCCTTTATAAGTATATATTTACATGAATATACACGGAGTGGCCAGATTATTATGCATTCAGAGGTCAGAATAATCTGGCCACTCAGTGTATACATCCCTGTTTATCAATTCTCCTTCCAACCCATGTTAACACTTTATTGATTTCCACATTGGCTAATGGGTTCAATAAATAGTCAACATGTTCTAATTACTTAAAATTTCAAGTCCTTTAGTTTTATCTGTTCAGTAAGTTTCAAACTCTGCTTAATTGGAAAATTATGTCCATATACACACTGGATTATTAGTCCTATTATAATGGTGACACAGTTTTCTTTCTCCCAAACTGGGTGCCAGAAACTGCATTAGTACTTGGGTTTAAGAGGCAAGCAAAACATACATGGTACTAGAGAACACGGTAATGAAACAATCGATGATGGGGAGAGTGCTCATTAAAATTATTTTCTGTGGGCTCTGCTCTGTGCATAGCAGAAGAAACCCACCTTAGTCTGAGGGGCTAGAATAAGTCTCTCAAAGTAATATATGGCCTTAAAGATTTCTGGCTTGGTAAAAATTGATAGAGCGAAATTCACTGTTAGGCTACACTAGAAGAGTGAACATTTTCAGAGCAGAGGGAAGATGAGTTCAGTGTGGATATGTTGAGTATTAATTCCCTGTGGGATTAACAGTTGTCCAGAAAGCCTATAGCTTAGGAGAGAGGCCTGAGCTGACAATATGGATAGGGACTCATCAGCATATGGCTTTGTCAACAATTACTCCTGATGTGACTTTGGAGATGATCATTTACCCACATGTGGTTAAGTTTTCTCATCTGTAAAGAAGAATAATGAAAATTTGGAATAATTACAAATTTCTTCCTTTAGCAGATGAGTATATTTACTATTTTCTGTAACCACAAAGGGTTGTTCTGGGGGGAAATCATACTCCCGCGCTAATGGAAAGAAAATGCCACATAATGTACAAAATTGTAACTCTTCTTAAACTCACCATAGAACTTAACTTTCAAGGTGACACACTACCCTGAAATCTAAGGGGGAAAAGGCACTTCAAGGGAAGTCAAGACAAGAACGCTGACTCACCTAGGCCAGAGATAGGAAGAGTCCTGGGACATCATACAAGTGGGTGAGAAGACTTCCGTTAACATTTTAACAAGTTGATAAGGGCCCAGTGAGGGCTAGCATGTGAGTATGGAACTCTTGAGAGTCACAGATACAAGGGGTCAGTGCATCTTCCTGCAAGTTCTTCTGAATGTACATTCACCGATTACTCATGAGAAAGAGGGGGAACTGGGAATTAGTAAACATTATTCGACAAAGTTTCAGGATAGAGCATCAATATCTAAAAAAAAATAAAAATGTACCTTTATATATCAGACCAAAGGAATATAAAATTTCAGAAAAAGGGACAATTTATGATAGCATCGAACATCTAGGAGTAAATTTAACAGTACACTAGCAAGGATTCTTTTGCAGAAACTGTCAAACTTTATTGAGAGAACTTAAATAGTTCACTTTCCAAAATAATGACAGCATGTATGGTGCATGGCTTCTGCTTGTCTTCATTTACAGGTAAGGTTGCCCTTCACCTAGAATGTAAACATAACAGTTGGGAACATCACTTAGCAGAGTTTTATTCACATTATAGATATACAAAGGACACTACCGTTTGGGGTTTTTTAAGTGGACTAAAACTAGAATTCTAAGGGTGATCCTTTGGCTTACATACACTTTAACCTCTGTAAGACTTTGGAGGTAGACTTTAAGATCTAGTGATATTTTAAAACATACCACTCTTTCTAGTGGTGTAGGACACAACGACTTCAGAACAGATTAAATCAAAGAAGACTATTTAAAGTGAGATTTAAGTAGAAAGCAAAAATCCTGTAACTTGAGTAAAAATGCAAGTAAAGTGAACACCTAGCAAACAAAATGAAAAATTTTACGTATAATTTTAGATGTTTTGACTTGAAATAACATTCTGGGGGGGGTGCGGGGGGAGGGGAGGATAGACAAAATAATAATGCCTACTTGGAACTGCTTAGGTAAAGTAAATAGAAAAGCCAGTTCAATTGTTTTCTCTGTATTGTGGAAAAGTGCAAAAATGTTTCTTTGGGCTATTTCAGGCTTTATGTGTTTGTCTTAATTAGTATAATAATGTCCTCTTTTCCACTCATATCCCTGGATTAATCATAATTAATGCAGCTTTATTCAGTTAAAGGTGTTTTGGTTTACAAAATAAACTATATGGCCACATTACTTTTAAGCCATATTATTATGGGAACAACAAAATATGAAGGAAAATACTAACATTTCTTGAGATCTGGTAAAAAGAGGGCACGAGGGAGAGGGAAAGAGATAACACACATAAGGAATGATCTCACATGTAGATCATTATTTGCTTCTAAAAGATATGTGCTTTTGAGGGGTAACTTGGAACAAATGTTCAAAGTCCACCCATAGTAGGTTTAATGTTTAGACATGCAGTTACCCCTGTGGTATGTTAAATAATTTTTATTTTCTTAGCAAATTTCATCCATATTTTAAAAATGTTTAGAGTTCAAGAATGTATTAATTTTTAATGTATAATATACTTAACATGTGTGAGCATCTTGTACACATGAATGTATTTTAGCTGTATTCAATTGGTTTATGAACATGTTCTGAAAACAATATTTTAATGTAAATATTCTGATGGAATGAATCAGAAATGTAGAGTGAACAAATAGGAGGTAATGCAGGATAATTTTCCTCCTAAATTCAAGTGCCTCCTTTAAATTCAGTAGCTGTGTAATTAAAAGTAAGCACTTTGGAAAACACAAGTGTAAGAAATACTTACTTTGCTTATTCAAAAAATAGAGCACCTATACAGACTTTGAACTTCAAATCTTATCAGTTGGAGTCTCAAGGACAAAAACTGGAGATATACGACCTTTGACATGATTAGAGGTGATCATATTTTTTTTATTGAAACAGTAGCTCATTAATACTGATGGTAGAGACCGGGAGTGTGCTTATCATATGCATCTTACTCATCCCCACATTGAACATCACTGACTATATGTATTGTGTATTCAAATATAGAAACTAGAAACTAGACTGTTTCTTGACATTTTATTATTCAGTAATTTGAGGCTTCATTTGGGGGAGAATTTAAAATAAAATTATTATTTATAATCAGAAAAATGAAAAAATTTGACAGAATCTAGGTCTCCATATGGAAAAACAAACATCAAGTAGAACGTTCACTTTCTTAGAAGTCATGAAACTTCATCTCAGATGTTATAATTTGACTCTGGCTATTGTTTGATGATTTATGATAAAAAATGCATGAGAAGCAGGTTATCATTGTATCCTATGCATTGTATTCAACAGAACCAGAGAATGCAAAAATACAAATTGAAATTTATTATTAAATACCTGATTTCAACTTTATTATTTTTTTAAATAAATCTTTATTGTTCATATTATTACAAATGTTCCTCATTCTCCCCCCCCCATTGCTCTCCTCCACCAGGTTCCCACCCCACCCACTGCCCTTTCCCCACCCCCCATTGTCCTTATCCATAGGTGCACAGTTTATGTTCAGTCTCTTCCCACTCCCCCCTCTCCCCTTTTCCCCGAGAAACATCAGTCTACTCCCCTTCCATACCTCTGATTCTATTATATTCAACAGTTAATATTGTTCATCAGATTTTTTTTTAATTCCCTTGGTTTTTAGATTCACTTGTTGATAGTTACATATTTGTTGTTCATAGTTTTTACCTTTATTTACTTTCTCTTCTGAAAGAACCCCCTTCAGCAATTCATATAATTCTGATTTGGTGGTGATGAACTCCTTTAGCTTTTTTTTTTTTTATTAGTGAAGCTCTTTATCTGGCCTTCAATTCTGAGTGATAGCTTTGCAGGGTAGATTATTTTTGGCTGTAGGTTCTTGCTATTCGTCACCTTGAATATTTCTTGCCATTCCCGTCTGGCCTGCATGGTTTCTGTTGAGAAATCAGCTGACAATCGTATAGGTGCTCCTTTATAGGTAACTACCTGCTTTGCTCTTGCTGCTTTTAATATTCTCTCTTTGTCTTTTGCTCTTGGAATTTTAATTATGATTTGTCTTGGTGTGATCCTCTTTGGATTCCTTTTGTTTGGAGTTCTGTGCGCTTCCTGAACTTGTAAGTCTAATTCTTTCACCAGGTGGGGGAAGTTTTCTGTCACTATTTCTTTCAGTATGTTTTCGATATCTTGCTCTCTCTCATCTTCTGGGACCCCCATAATTCTGATGTTGGTTCGCTTGAAATTGTCCCAGAGGTTTCTTACATTATCTTCAACTTTCTGGATTCTCTTGTCTTCTTGCTTCTGTGGAGGAGTGTCTTCTGGCTCTTTATGCTCCAAATTTTTGACTTGATTCTTGTGATCTTTCATTTTGTTTTTAGGACTCTGTATAATACTTTTTATTTCAGACAAAGTATTCTTTATTTCTTGTTGATCCCTTATTAGTTCTTGTTGATCTCTTTTCATCTCCTCATAGGTCTTATCGACCTTTTCTAGGAAATTCTTGAAAAACCTTATAAGCGTGGTTTTGAACTCTATATCCAGTCTCTTCTTTTCCTCCATTTCTTTTGTTTGTGATCTATTTCTTTGTCTTAGCATTTTCATAGCTTCCCTGAGTTGGTAGGGTGGCTTTGTGTGCTAAGGTGTCCTATATAGTTCAGTGAGTCAGCCTCCCAGTTACTGAGGTGGACAGACTTGGTGTAGCCCTTTGTGGGATGTGTGTGCCATTTTGTTGTTAAGCCTTGCTTGTTGTTGGTATCACTGGGAAGTGTTGATCTTCAAGCCAATTGGCTATGAGGATCAGAAGTGTCTCAGCTAGGAGGGTTTCTATAGTCTGCTTGGATGGGCGGAGTCTCGGGGTGGCACAGCCAAGCTTTGTTGAGTCCCGCACAATTGGTTGCAGGTGCGCGCACCTCTTTGGTATAGGAGCAGACAAGCTTTAGATTCCTGTCTGCCCCTCCCTAGGAGAGTCCTATTGGCAGTGAACGAGGAAGCTAGCCACTGGAAGGGTTTCTGTGCTCCACTTGGATGGGGCGTAGTCTCGGGTGGTGCAGACAAGCTTTATTCAGCCCCTCCCTACAAGGATCTGGTTTCTGAGTCCCGCAGTAATGGCTGCTGGCTTCACACAGCTCCGAGAGATCCCCGCCCACTGCCCTGCCCTGTCTGGGGCCTTCTATCAGCGCAATAGGGTGGTTCTGTTTTCCTCCCGCATAAGAAAGCCAGCCACGCATTAGCTGTCCGCCCTCTCTGCGCGCAGGGAGTAAGCCGGTAGCAAACTTGGCCCGCCCTCTTGGCGCTTGACAAGCAAGCCGGCAGCGAACTCTGCAGCCGCTTTTTCGCGCGCACAGTTTTCCGTACCTTCACAGTTCCTGAGGATTAGCACGCCTTCTCTCTCCTTCCCAGATGGCAGAGCTTCTGCTCAGCCAGTCCTCTGGCGCTTCAGGGTGATGTTTCCCCTATTTTTCAGTTCTAAAATTCAAACTTGTTGTGGTAGGCTGCATTTGGGCGTCTGCCCTATGCCGCCATCTTGGTTCTTTCTCAACTTTATTTTTTAATTATTTTTATATATACATATTATTGACTTTTTTGCAGAGAGGAAGAAAGAGGGATAGAGAGTTAGAAATATCGATGAGAGAGAATCATTGATTGGCTGCCTCTTGCACACCCCTTACTGAGGATGTGCCCACAACCAAGGTACATGCCCTTGACCGGAATCGAACCTGGGACCTTTCAGTCCGCAGACCAACGCTCTACCACTGAGCCAAACCGGTTTCGGCAACTTTATTTTTTATAACAGCAAAATGGGGGTTAGAAAGAGATTGTACAGTCATACAAATTATGTTAGAGCTGGTATGCGAACCTACTTCCATGCTTCAACATGTTTCACACAAATTGATGTGTGTTACAAATGTACTATATAGATACTTGTAAAAAGCAGACCTTTATAATAGTATCTGGAAATTATTAGCTGTTCATTAAAGGACTTGATATTAAACAATAAAAAAGTCTACATTTTATAATTCAACTAGAGGCCCAGTGCATGGGATTTGTGCACTGTTGGGGGCATGGCCTGGAGGGATCAGCCCACTGTGGGAGCACTGTTCATCCGGATCAGCCAAGTGGCACTCCCACAGTAGGAGTGCACTGACCAGCAGGGGGAAGCTTCTGCATTGAGCGTCTGCCCTCTGGTGGTCAGTGCACATCATAGCGACTGGTCAACTGGTCTTTCTGCTGTTTGGTCATTGGACTTTTATTATATAGGATAGGATAAAGATTTGACCAAATGTGTTTCTATCTCTCATAAGTCATGCATGTGGAATCAAAACTACCTTTCAAAGAATATATGTAAATTAAAGTATCAGTAATGATACCTCTATAATAATAAAAATACAATATTATGGAAAACAGAAACCTCTTAACTTTCATTCTGAATGGATCACATACCTGCTTCTGGCACTATAACAGGCTCCAAATTTGACAGAATGTGCTCTATGATGTTAGGGCCATCTCCACACTGATCCCTAGCGTCTTCCAGAATTGGTTCCTGTTGATCAGCCTCCAGGACAGGCTCTTACAGATAAAATGGTTATCAATTTAAGCACTATATATATATATATATATATATATATATATATATATATATATTCATCCTGTCAGTATTATAAAAAGAAAACCTGTAGGCTAGTGTGGTGATAAATATAATACATTAGAACCCCAAGAGGGATTATTTCAGGACTCTGGTGCCAGAAAAAAAAGAAAGCAAGGTTTTTCAAGTCATTACCCTTTTTCTTTCTCAGCACTGTCCTCAGACAATTTAGCTACTCTTTCTGTACTTTTGTTATTGTATTTGTCACTATATTTTTCACATTAAATCAGTGATTTAAGCCTCTCTGACTAGATGGTGGGCTCAAGGCAGAATTTGTGTCTCTCACTAGCATTTAATTTTAGGAACAAAACCTATTGACTTTCTTAATCATAAAATGATTTAGCCATCATTTAAAAGCCACTTAAATAATAACACCAAACCAGATACCTGTGTGCCAATACCTTGAACTATCCAGCTTTTGCCAAGCTACCACATAAAAATATCAATTAAAGTAAGCAATGGTTACCATTCATTAAACTTTTTCTAGACTCAATCCTTATATAGACTTTATTCCCTTGAACTGAATCTATTCCTGTGCCAGTACTGAGCTATTTTACAGCACAAAAACTTGAATATTAAGCATCTGAAACAAAATGAGATTTTCTTATAGCAAACATGGATAGTAGAACGAACACAAACTTTGGGGTGAAACATGAGTTCTGTCTCCACCATTCAAATGCTCTTTGGTAAGACACAATTAGCAAGCTTCAGTTTTCTCATTTATGAAGTAGGTTAACTGCACTTGGCTGTAGGCCTGCTTTAATTTTCCAGCCAAATTGTAGGAAATGTTTAATATCTTCTCTAATGCTGTATTTCCTCCTTTTACTGGTGTGTCATAATGCATGATGCACGCATACAATTTCACACACACACACACAGACACACACACAGGCAGTCTTCTTCCCTCGCTTTTCACCTTGAACCTCCAATTCTCTTGCATCTTCTGGCTCTTGACCAGGAATGATATCCTGATTCTCAATTGGTGGCTCTGCTTGTTCAACTTGCTCATCGCTTGGCTGCTGAGCCTAGGGAAATGTATGTGTCAATAATATAAATATACATAACACATAAATAATGTAGCCATAAGTAAGTCTAGTGACATTTTTCAGTACTATCTATAATAATAAAAGTGTAATATGCTAATTAGACCGGACATCCGGATGACCCTCCGGATGAAGCCCGGGATACGAGGGCTGAGGCAAGCTGCTGCGGCTGCAAAGGCCAAGCCCCTTGCATGAATTTCATGCATCAGGCCTCTAGTTCTATATAATTATTAACAAAGTTGTTCTTCCCATCAGAGGCTACTCCAAGGAAAGTTATCAACAAAGACTTTAGAAGCTATTTTAAGCTCCACCGGGGTGGATGTGAACAATCTGTTGTTGAACATGAGAAAGGAGTTGTACAATTTCCAGGAATCATAACAACATCCATCTAGGCAACATGAAAATGTAATCCACCTGGATCAATGTTTCCTTCATGAGATTCAATTTTTTTACTTCTTATCAGCATGGAAGACTTTCATCAGTGTATCTATACTAGCTCCAAAACATTTCCCCCCAAAATAGATATCTGCTAATAGAAAACATGAAACATCAAAGCACTTACAGCTATAGGCCCAACCAAGTGTGAAAACTCTTGATCATCTCCTTCTTTAGATTTGGGTGCTGATTTTACTTGTTCACTCATATTTTACCCTGAAATATTGAGATTTAGAAAATTCACTTAAGATGATAGCTATATATGTATTTTTTTTTTTTAATTTCAAAATACTTTCAAGGTAAGTCCCAGGCAAATGCTCATGCTTTCTATTAACACCAAATAGGCCCTTGTTTATGTGAGCATCAAACATACAGCCTTACACATGTGGTGAAAAGCGAAGGACTTTTCTGATGAAGTCTGATTTCACAATTAAACTCATGAATGAAGGAACTTGAGTAACTTATTTGGTCATACTCTTAGTTACTGGGCACCTTCTCCCCCCATCAATAAAGTTTTGTGGGAAAGTAGGACCGGGGATTGTGTTCTGTGGGCCGGTCCAGGGCCCTCCATGGCCCAGACACCCCAAATACTGTCCCCCAAACCCTTTACCTGCCCCCTGCCCTGGGGCCCAGCCCCTCCTAGTCCGGGTCACCCAGGCCTTCCAGGGCCATGGCGGCCATGATGCCTGAGAGGACACAGGCGCTGCCCTCGAGGCCCTTCCTCCTAGGAGGCCACAGACCCCGCCGCTCCGCCCCCACCCAAACCCGCGGGCCTTCTCCTCACACTCTGCCATATTAATTAAAGTCCCGGAGGGCAGCTCTGTGGACCTACCAGGTGAATGTGAACCAGCAAGAAGGAATCAAAATGGAAGGAACACCGTTGCCTGTTGCGCATTTCTCCTCCCAGAATTCGGACACCAAGGCGCATGCGCAGCAATGGACAAGCTCGCGCAGCAATGTGAATGGTCTGAAAAGCGCATGCGCAGCTATGGGCATGCGCAACAGTGGACATGCTCTGAAGTGCGCATGCGCAGATACAGGCATGCGCAGGTATGAGCAAATGGACTGATTTTTGAGGTTTTCCTGCCAAGGCCACAGAGCATTGTAATCTCTAGGTCAGCCCTGGTCAAGAAAGCCGCTCTAAGTTTGGTTTTGCCTACACCCAATCTTTCTTATTTCAGAAACTTTGTGGACAGACACTCTAAGTGTAATCTTAATGGAGAACGTATTTCAAAAACATGGCTGTCACAGAAACATATTTTAATAACATGTTTACACGTATACTTTGACGATTCTGGGTTTTGTGTCATGCATACAAGGAATTCGCTCACTTCCATAAATTTAATACATTCACCCCTGTTTTCTTAACTACTTTGCTTGTGTTACCGTACATACATCTCCAGACGGTAACCGTTTCTCTGAACATACCTGTGGTCACTCGGTCAGTGTATGGTTTACCAATACCCTTAGATAACGGTGCCAGCATTTAGGCTCAGTCCTCTGTCACTTGGTGAGACAAATGCAACAAAAGCACAATTCACAAAAAGAAAAATGATATAGTCCCTGTTTAGAGGATGAAAAGACAAGCTCCAGGCTGTGAGGAAACATTTGCAAGCACCTATCTACAAAGGACCTTTATTTCAAATATATAAAGGATCCTCAAAATAGTGAAAATACGAATGTACCTATTAGAAAAAGACACAAAGAAATTTCACAAAAGAGGACATATGGGTGGCTAACAAACACATGAAAATATATTCAACATCTAGGGAAATGCAAATTAACATAGTGCAGGATAGGATTAGAAGAAACTGAACGTGTCATAAACTGATGGCGGTTTCTTTTCTTCTTTTTTTAAAATATATTTTATTGATTTTTTACAGAGAGGAAGGGAAAGCTAGAAATATCAATGATGAGAGAAACATCGACCAGCTGCCTCCTGCACAACCCCTACTGGGGATGTGCCCACAAGCAAGTGTACATACCCTTGACCAGGATCGAACCTGGGACCTTCCAGTCCACAGACCTATGCTCTATCCACTGAGCCAAACCAGTTTCAGCAGTTGGGCAGTTTCTTAAAAAAATAAAAACTAAGCCCTAGCTAGTTTGGCTCAGTGATTATAGCGTCAGCTTGTGGAGTGAAGGGTCCCAGGTTCGATTTCAGTCAAGGGGACATGCCTGGGTTGCTGGCTTAATCCAATGTGCAGGAGGCAGCCAATCAATCATTCCCTCTGATCATTGATATTTCTATTTCTCTCTTCCCCTCCCTTCCTCTCTGAAATCAATAAAAATATTTTGTTAAAAAACTAAACGTACACTGAACTTATGACCCAACAATTATAGTCCTGAGCCTTTATCCCACATAAATGAAAACTTATATCCACACAAAAACTTGTATACCACCGTTCATAGCAGCTTTATTTATAATAGCTAAAATCTGAAAATCAAAATGTTCACTAATATATGTATGGCTAAAGAAACTGTGGTACATCCATATAATGGAATACTACTCAGCAATAAAATGAAATGAACTTTTGATACATACAACAATTTATATGGACCTCAACAGCTATGCTGAGTAAAAAAAATAATAATAATAAAAATAAAAATAATCCAATTCCAAAAGGTCACATACTGCATGATTACTTTTTTTATTAAAAACTTTTAATGTTGACATTATTGCAGGCTTCCTCCCATTTACCCCTTTTACCCACCTCCTCCTCCTGCTTCCCCCTCTTTTGCATTCCTTTTTAAAAAAATATATTTTATTGATTTTTTCACAGAGAGGAAGAGAGAGGAACAGAGAGTTAGAAACATCGATGAGAGAGAATCATCGATCAGCTGCCTCTTGCACACCCCCTACTGGGGATGTGCCCACAACCAATGTACATGCCCTTGACCGGAATCGAACCCGGGACCTTTCAGTCCACAGGCCGACGCTCTACCACTCAGCCAAACCGGTTTCAGCTTGCATTCCTTTTTATGTAACAATCTGAAAATAAAACAGTTCTAAAGATGGAGAGCAGTTTATGGTTGCTTAGGGATGGTACGAGGGAAGGCTGTAGGTGTAACAACAAAGAAGTGGCACAAGGAAGATCTTTGTGGTGATGGGAGAGTTTTGCCTCTTTTTTTAAAAAAAATATTTTTTATTGCTCTAACCCAGTGGTTGGCAAACTGCAGCTTGGGCTCCTTGGCCCCTTGAGTGTGGCTCTTCCACAAAATATCATGGCCTGGGAGAGTCTATTTTGAAGAAGTGGCATTAGAAGAAGTTGAAGTTTAAAAAATTTGGCTCTCAAAAGAAATTTCAATCGTTGTACTGTTGACATTTGGCTCTTTGGACTAATGAGTTTGCCGACCACTGCCCTAACCGGTTTGGCTCAGTGGATAGAGTGTTGGCCTGCAGACTGAAGGGTCCCAGGTTCAATTCTGGTCAAGGGCATGTACCTTGGTTGTGGGCACATCCCCAGTAGAAGGTGTGCAGGAGGCAGCTGACCGATGTTTCTCTCTCATCGATGTTTCTAACTCTCTATCCTTCTCCCTTTCTCTCTGAAAAATCAATAAAATATATTTTAAAATTATTAAAAATATTTTTATTGATTCCAGAGAGGAAGGGAGAGGGAGAGAGAGAGAGAGAAACATTAATGGTGAGAGAGAATCATCAACCCGCTGCCTCCTGCATCTCCCCTACTGGGAATTGAGCCTGCAACCCAGGCATGTGCCCTTGACTGGAATTGAACCCGGGACCCATCAGTCTGCAGGCCGATGCTCTATCCACTGAGCCAAACCAGCGAGGACAGAGTTTTGCCTCTTGATTGTAGTGGTGGTTATACAAAGCTACACATATGATAAAATCACATAGAATCACACACATGCTTTGTGCCAACACCAATTTCCTGGTTTGGGGATGGTATGACATTCTGCAAGATAAAATTACCTTGGGGGATATATGAATAGTAAATATCTTGAGGGAGACAGAGTGAAGGGTACATAAGACCTACCTGCACTATCTTTGCAACTTCCCTGCACATATATATGATTTTTTAAATAAAAAAAAAACCAGGACGCTTGCGCACGCACATGCAAACACACACACACACACACACACACACACCATCAGACCTAGTGCCTCTTCTGGGATTCAATCAACAAAATGTAATGACAGTATTAAAAAAAAAAAAAAAGAGCCAGAAATACTACACAGATGGTTTATAATTTATTGGCGACAAAGTAAGGGAAGAAAAGCTGAAACCCAAAGAGGAAAAATGATGTCTTTGCGCTAAAGGAAGTATTGTGGAGAGTATGGAGACATTGCTATCTAGTTGCTCTTGCCATGGAGGAACCGCTCCCAGCATGTCCCAAGATGGTCCTAAAATTACTAAAGGAAAGATGGCTATGTTTCTGGAGCTGGGTTGACTCGCCGGCTGATAAATCCTTGGCATAGACTGGATGCTATTATTTGTTCTCTGTTCCCAAAAGTATTCCACCTGAGGGATTGGCAATGTTGGCACTCATGACCCCATCTCTTCTGGTCTTTCTTCGCCTGAGGGTGAAAGTCTTAGATTTAAGCTGCCCATTCTCTTAGGAACCTCTGAAACAGCCTTTTGCTCTTTTGCTCTCTGTTTTTGTCTCTCTCTTCTCATTCCTTTCCTGCTCTCTCTTGTCAGAGAGGGGGTGAGTGTTGTCTGAGTTGAGCTTTAAGTTGTTGAGTTGCTGTATGAGCTTATCGCAGGAGGTAGTTGCTTCGTTCCCAGGGGAGATCCCAGAAGTGGTGCCCACACATTTCAGGCAGTAGTAGCATTCACACTTGAATCTGTTCTGTTCTGTATCACGTGTAGAAGAGGTTTTTGCTTTTCTGTCAGTTTGATAAGGTGCTGCGGACTTGAGATATCTCCATCTGGAGCGTTCTACTAACTTCTTCCCCCTTGTCTTCTGAGGCGCCCTTGAACTTTCCCACTGCTGTTCTTCTTCCATCCTCTAAAAAGGTACATATAATAGAAACCCAAAGAATATATTTAAAACATGCCTTGTCATATCATTCATAGAACACCTACTAACAAACACATATGCACACCTTTCAGAAAGAGTCCCTGATAAATTAAGCAACTGAAATCTATATTTCAAATTTATTTGATTGGTCATTTCTTTTTTTTTAATTTACATTTCTTTTAAAAACATTTTTTATTGCTTTCAGAGAGGGAGGTAAAGGGA